TCGAAAATACAGTATCCGTCAAACCGACGAGTCTCGTAACTCTACTAAAAACACGAGAAACAATGTTTACCAGCCGTTAAATGCTCGCAAAGCCGGTGAAATGAAACAATAAGAAACGATGAGAAGAAAGTAACACTAGAAACACAGGTTAAATAACTCCGAGTTTCTTCGAACTTTTATTCCGTTACGGAACGGCGAATCGGCGTGTTCCGGCGAACTCCTACGCTAGGATTCGCCGGACAAAACGTCGGGAGGTTGATCCCGTTGAGGACACTATTGGATTATTCGCGGCTAACGCGATTAGCGTTTCGCAATATTTGATAAAATTCCCGGAAGCACCGTCGGCGCTTTTAATCCACTCGTTCCTGCGGTGTCCAGTGATTCGAAAAAAAACCTTTCTCCATCTCCCTCCCTCTCTTCCTCTCTCTCTCTCTCTCTCTTTCTCTCCTTTCTCTCTCCCCCCTCTCTTACACGCACAGACGCACACTATCCTGTCGGCTGTCTGTCTGCAATCTTATTAATAGCGTATCTGTGCTGGGCAAGTGCAAGTGCACCGGCGTGCGCGAGACCGCCGCGCTCGCCTGGAAATGCATTATGTTACTTCCTGCATATCGTTTGATGCGTTGCGCCGGGGTGGATCTCCTCCGCTTACCGGCCACCCCGAAAATAGATCACGATGCGATCGATTTTTTGCCGGATTTCGCCGGTTCGCCGGTTCGACGGGCAAGGCGCCGCACAGAGAAACCACTGGCGCTTCCTCGTTCGGCTACCTACGCTTCTTCCTGTTGCGAATTGCAACTCGGACGTTCGTTCAACGAGGAAATAGTGCGATGCACTGTTCTGGAAAGGGAGGGATGGGGAATTCTTTGGAATTTATTCTTAGTGTCGTGGAATAGTAACGCTGACTCCTGTGTCGCTTGAATTTGGGTGGTACGGTTTCTTGTGAAGTTGAGCATTCATTTTCTTGGCAACGCGTCGGAGGAATTGAATTCTGTTGGGTATACGAGATTTAACTGTCAATTGATTTGACACAGCAAAATTATAGAGTTTGAGGTTTAATGTTAAACTTTGAATGTCGTCTATTTCTCACTGGAAAATCTTGAATGATTCTAGCGACAAATTTTCCAGTGTAAATGGTTGTGACCCTTCCTAACGAAAGACAGATCATTTAAAGGACAAGACTTAAATAGAGTCCACAATGATGTTTTTATACGTAAATCGGACAAGTTAATGCAATGACATATGTAAAGGACGAGACTCAAATAGAGTCCACAATGATGTTTTTACAAGTAAATCGGATAAGTTAATGCAATTTTGCTGGTTCCGATTTATAAGATCGCTTTTTCCTATTTCGACGATGCGTGGTAAACACGGTTAATCGAATTCCAACAATCCAGTTAGAGTTAATGTGGATAATTCCTGTGAGTCGACGAACTTTGTTAGCCCTCGGTCCGCCGTGCTCCTCGTACACGTTCAGCTTATCTGCTACCTGTTATCTTACGTACACTGAAAGGTTTATTCGCCTGTTATTAATAACACGGCTTGGAATCGGTTGCGCGACTGGTTGCGTGAAAATATATGGCTCCCCTTTGGGAAACAGAGGTTACGCGTCGAAAACATCTCTACGAAAAGCGCGTGTCTTCCTCAATATACTTTTCCGATAAGAGAAGCAAATGTTGCGTCGACTATTCTTTGAAATAACGAGGGAACAATTGCCTAATAGAAACACCGTAGATCACCCTATGTATGTTTGCTTGAGCAACAAAGTCTACACGCTCTAAATGAACAAATAGAGCGAGCAAGTGGATTAATGTTTCTGACGCAGTAATCGACACGAGTTGCCATGCGATTTACGTTATATTTACTCAATAGAGTACGATAGCTTCCAGCATACCGGGTGTCGTAAATAATACAAGTACTCCTCTCGCAAACATGTATCCAACGATTATTCTCCATTTCACAGATTCAGTGAGATCGAACTCTGAACCCGATAACCATTTTGATTAATGAACACTGCTTTCTATATAGAAAGAGATTCCTACAATTTTTTGCAAGATTTATTGTCACTGTGAATCCAGACAGAGATGTAAGTTGGAAATATGGGACACAATTCCTCCGCCGACATTTCGTCCGAGGAAATATCTATTGGTCGCACGTGCCATTGAACAGGAATCCGCTAACGCGTCTGTTCGTGGCTCGCCGTTTCTACTTCTCGCAAACACTGATGTCACGCGGACTTCGATATCTCCTGATTTTCCCAAATTTCCATGGAATAAATATTCTTTTCTCGTTTTTTCTATATAAGAAAACCCTTCATATAGCTCCTGAATATTTTATATAATAATTTCAGAAGCCACTGCATTAATTTTCTCAATCTTTCCTGCACTCTGTACATTGTCATCTGTACCAAAACAAGTACACGTTTCACATTGCTACGCAGATTGATTCACAAAACACAATCTACAAAGAGTACCGACGAGTCCGTCGATGTCCACGGTGCAGATTCCCCATAACATCGTCACTCGTCCCCGCAAGGTAATTTCCTTCGCGGAGGGGAAACCTCTCGTTCCGATTTCCCAGCGCGCGGCGAGAGCTCTGGAAAAGGAAAGGGAGAAACAACTCGCGCGACACTCGCGCTCGCGTTGACCGGAGGCGGCTCGAGTCCAGGGACGTAAATAATCGTGGCATTTATCGCGTGGAAAATCTGTTGATTAGACACACGATATCACGGCGCGCGAGCACGACGCTTAAGCTCTGATACGCGGGAACCGCGAGCGAGGGATTTCTCGGGGAAACCGGTGAAAACAGCGCCGATCGCGAGGATTTAAATCACTTCTTCCGTGGATCTCTGTTCTTAATCCGCGCGACACGGGAGATATCGCGGTCGATTTTTAACCAGTTAACTGTGTTTGACGAGTATACGCGTCATCGTAAAGCTTGACACGATGCTAATTCTTTCAGCGATGAATTCTCTATTTTTTCGCATAAACATGCAATTCTTTGTTTCGCTTCGACCTTTCATTAAAATATACTCTACGTGCATTTTCGATTTTACTGCGCGCAGAACCGGAGGTTTCTCCAACTAAACTCCACAGTTAACTGGTCAAAGAAAACCTGCGGGAGCTATCGGTGGATTGTTTACTAGAGGAACTCCTGGTGAACGAACTTCGATATTCTGCTCAGGAACTCTATCCATCACGATGTTCCTTCGTTGTAAAAACGAGTCGAGGAGACATCAAGCTTCAACGGAGAACGAACGCGTATTAACGTAATGAGCGGCGGCCGTTTATTATCGCGGAAAGAAGTGTCCGATCGAAGAAGCGAACGGCTATTGTTAACGTCAGTTGAGACGTGAAGCGCATCTTCACTTTCAACTTTTCCGAGGAATATATTATTAAGAGAGACATGTTTATTCAATTGCCAGTCGGTAGAAATATTTTTACGTTGTACAACATTAATCAATCTTCGATCCGACTGATATGCACGCGGATTCATTTATTAGAGCATTCCACGCACGCGGGTGAAGAAACTTGGCGATCTCCGTCATCATTCGTCACGTCCTCCAATCTCCACGATCTCTGGCCTCCTTATGGCATCTTCTTGGATCGGCACTCCTAATATTCTTGGACGTAGCCGGCCAGCCTTGTCAAACTTGCTCATTTCTGTTCATCTCTGCCCACCGCCTGTTGACCTTTTTTCCAGCGGTTTTTTTCGATCTCCTTAACCGCTCCAATTTCCTCGGCCGTTTTTGGCAAGTCCTTCCCCGCGTTGGACACGTTCAGCCACCCACCCCGACAGTCACGTTCCTCGTTGACCAGCTCGTTCAGTCTCCGCGTTACTCTAGTCTCGCTGGGTTCTTCTCGCATCGACCAGAGAGTGGTCGAATGCGTGTACCGTGCTCGCCGTGGGTGGGCTGACTCCGGGGCACCGAGGTTCACGTTCGCATGGGAGTGATGATCGAGATCTGAATTAGTAAATTATTAAATTCCAGTTACCTCAGACGAATTACCTTAAACGAACGACGCGTGTTTGCCGGGGTTTCAGCGCTGGAGGTTTATCGCGCCTGGAATATGGAATAGTTGCACGGACATAGTTGTTGGTTGTTGTAGGGCGGTAGAGGTGTTTTTTGGGAGGAGTAGACCGTGAATGTTAGTGGCGAGTAATAAGGGGAATTTGTGAGAATGATTATCACTAGGTTTACGGAACGCGTCAAATTGGCGCATATCGGATTTTAGAAATATTGATAACTTAGTGACCCAATCGATCAGTAGACCACTGAACCAGTAAACCAGTGAATCGTTCTACTAATACACTTCACCTACATCTGTCAGTAAATCCGTTCGATCGGAATGATACAATTTAGAAACGATTCTAAGAAGCATTGCACTAAGCCAAAGGGACATTGCATAGTATTATCAATACCTATATTTTTCCACTTAATCTTCATAACATCGCGTGTTCCGCGTATGGAAACAAGGACTCGTTCGTGCGACTGATTACAGGAATGCGCCGAGTCCTCGTCGCCTCCCTTTTCGATCGATCCTTTGCGCACCGATCCCCACCCTCGCAAGATCGCTAGCTTTCCCTGGGAACGTCGACAGAAGAAACATCCTCATCCTCATTTATCCCTCGTTACTACATCCGCAGGCCTTTGACGATCACCGACGACGTCGACGAAGGACACTGCGTCTTGGCAGTGCATTTCTTCAGTCTTTTATTTTCCTTCTAGTACAAAATTTGGACGTGTGGAAAATCTAATAATTTTAAGCTAGTTTCTTTAAGATTAAAATATTTAATACTCTAACTGGTGCAATACTGGAGCCTACAGAGTTCAAAGGGTTAAAGCACCCATATTGAAACATGCTGCGATGCATAAGTGATTCGAATCTCCCAAACTGTCACGACAGACGCAAAGAGAAGTCGCGATGCCGCGCGTGTATGGGGCCCCGTAGATTCCCAGCGATTCGCAGACGAATGAATTGAATCTTCTCTGTCCGCAGATGTGCCAGCATGTCCGAAGCCGGGGCGCAGGAAGCAGCGAGCGGGGAGATCGTCCGGCAGGCGTCGGTTTACGTGTTCCCGGGATCGGTCCGTCCGCAGTACCCGAGCTTGTCGTCGGCTCCGTCGCAGCCGGCGGCCGTTGCCTCCGTTTCCGACGGGATCGCCGCGGCGGCGAGCAACGCGTTCGCGAGAGGAGACTTCAACGAGGACGAGGCTGCGTCGCGGATCAGGAGGCGGCCGTGCGCGATGACCCACGCAAGGTCGGCCAGCCATGGCGGGGTCCTTGCGGAGAGCCTGGCGAGCTCTGGACTCCAGGCGAACGTGGGCTCCTACCTTGGACCCCTGTCCGCGGTCAGCGGCGGGAGACCCTCCGCGCTGAAGAAGCCGGGACATCAAAGAGCGTTCAGCCAAGGGCAGGTGGTCGACGTTCAAGGACACTCGGTGACCGGGCACAGCAGGGTTGGCTCCAGGACGGACTTCATACTACCTCCGGGTCACAGAGAGGAGCCCCGGCCACCCACTGCTGGGAAGACACCCTCTTTTCGAGGTCACTCGCGGCAAGCGTCCAGGTAGGCTTTCGCTGGGATTTGGGGATATGCTGGTGAAAGGAGATTTGTGTGAGCTTACAGGGGTTTTCGTAACTTGAAAAGGGGATGGTACAGGTGTCAGAGGTCTTTCGCGAGGTGTGAAGTTCTGGTCGATTTCGTGTAGTATCGAGCAGTAGCTAATTAGTATAGGGAAGATGGGGAAGATGAAAGTTTGATTAGCGTTTATTAGCTTGGGCATTAACCCTGCGAATTTCATTTCGAGATTTAGCGAAGAGAAGAGTAGTGTTATTTATTAGCTCTTTGCACTCGATAGTTTTTCACTAGAAATATTCAATATTCTCCGATGAGATACAGACGATCTTTGAAACTAATTAACGAGAGAACATGTATAAATTCAGAAGGAAAGTTATTTTATTTCAATATTCCACATATTAATGCATCATGCAAAGCTTAATATTATATATAAGACTTTATAGTTTTGCAAATAAAATCAACTGGTGACTGAGTCACCTCTCGAGTGCAAAGGGTTACTTTTGTATAGAGTGATACGTTTCAAAGAATCTAGTATGTGTAGTGTAATTAGATTATATTTATAGAATGTAATTAGTAATTTTGGAACGAATCTCGACGTTTATAGTATGTCTGTCCATCGCGAGGGTAAGAGGTAGACGGGAGCAGACAGTAAATTCCTTTGGAAATCTATTCAACACGTGTATAATTTCGAAGGAAGAGAGTCGATACTCTACCGAGTCCGTTTAATATGTACGATAGGTTTCAGTAGCAAAGTTTACGGCCGATCAGATTCACTCCACGTTCTCCGCCCGGCGGAGGAATTTTACGTCACCGGTTGCGCTCTCGCGCGAAACATCCTTTAAATCTTGTCGCGGGCGCAGTCGAATCGCGTATTCCCTGTTCGTTGTCCTGGCCGAGCTAGCGCTTCGCCACCGAATCAATTCGTACGCCGAACATGCGAGAGCTTGTACCGTAGCAAGGACATTTACATCCTGCAGCGTTCGAAACAGCGTCGCGCACGTGATTCGAAATAAAAGCCGAACACGAGTCGATCGTCTAATCCGACGCGCCGCGACGCTGCGACGCTGACACGCTGATCCCGATCTAAATTCGATCGAGCCGCCGCGACACCGTTTAGCGTACCGTTGAAAAGGAGTTCGCCGCTCGGCGAGATAGCCGACGTCGTAAAAACGCGGGGAGGGCACTTCGGCGTGCGAGCGTGATCGAGACGGGGCGCGCGAGGGCAATATCGCGGAGCTCTCAAAAATAACTCCTCTTTTTATTGCGCGAGGAGACAATGGTCGGACCGGCGCGGTGGCGCGCGCTGTTTTCGTCGTGCCCGTGTTTGCTCGTTGCCAATACACCGGGTTCGTCGGAAGGCCCTGTTTAACTTCGAGGAGCGCGATATTATCGTCCGAGGAGCGTACCCGTGGACGCGTATCGGGCGACTTTCAAACGCTGCTCGGGTTCAACGCTCGATCGTCAACGTCGGTCCAACGGCGCACGAAAATCTGAATCTGATTACCTTCGCGCGTGTTCCGGCTTATCAGATCCTGAACGAAAGGATTTCCTCCTGTTTAGGGTTGAACCCTCGCCTCGCGGTTTCTACCTGCAACCAACCCCTTTGAGGCCTCGTTATCATTGATCGATGAGTAACCAGAGGAATAAAGCAATCCGAGGGAAGCGATATTTTCGTCTTGAAGAGGGGGAATAGTATTTTTTACGAGTTCCATTCGGTATCTTGATGGGGTTAACAAGGATTTTCTGTTTTTCCAGTAACGAATTCGAATTGAATTCTTTCGTTCGTAGGAAATATTTGATAACGATTACAGCATGGGGAAAGAAGAAGAAGAAGAAGCAGGACGGAAAGGTGAACGTAACGGTTTGAACTTTGTTTGCAGATCAGAATCGATATACACGATAAGACGTAGCGCGGAGCCGCCTTGGTGGAGGAGGCTCTGGGCTCGATGCTGCGGTCCGCTGCCGGAGGAGCCTCGTCTGAGGACCGTAGTGCCGAATCACTTGGTGCCGCCGAAGACACCGTCGAGTCAGCATCCCAATGGAAAGAGGGTGAACAATAGGTAAACCCTCGGTCAATCTTGAACTGGTCTTGAGCCGTTCGACCACGTGTTGGGTTCCTAGATATCAAATTGCTTGATTAATCCTCTGCACTCGGGAGGTGACTCTCACTTGATTCGACGCAGCGGAACTGTAAAATGTGATATTTAACGTTGAACTTCGTACAATGCCTCGATACGTGAAATATTGGAATAAAATCTTATTCCAATATTTAAATAATATTTAAATAACCTTTGTTGCTCAATGGACTCGTGATTTCTTTTGGAGATGGTTTCAAAGAATCACCTCGTCAAAAAATGTTAAATATCTCTAGTGAGAAACTTCCGAGTGCAAAGGGTTAATCCTTTATCAACCCTTTAGAAAATCTTTCCATGAAGAATCGAATGAAGTATCGAAATCTTAATGATCAGGCAAGAAAACCATAACGGTCCGTCATTATTTGAATTAAACTACTCATTGGCAGCTTTCGATTTTTCGCGAAGGGTTATCATTACGTCGTTTTTCTTACGGAAGTGTAATTGATGAACTCTAGCCTAACGAGTCTAATTAGTAGCGAAGGGGTTGATAAACATCTGAACTCCTCGGTTTTTCTTATTATTCTTTCTATTACCGATATCCAATGCTCAGAGTAAATGCAGAGTTATAAATAACACCGGTCTCCTTTTTCCTCGTGGTAAGGTAATTTTAATTGGTATTCATAGTCTCGGATAATGAACGGTTACGAGTATTCGGCGCGATGCATAAGGTAAAGGGAGTGTTTTGTCCTGTGCCCGCTAATGGACTCGATAAAGCTACCGAGCGGTTCGCGTCTTGCGTCCGACGCGAAGAGCTTTCACGGATGATTAACACCTCGACGGCCGCGCGTTTAATAGTGTAATAATAATGTTCTTGTCGGGAGAAACTAATACTATCGTTCGAACTTTCTAATGCAATTTTTCTTGTTGTCGCGACGGAAGATATCACTGTACATCGACGGAACGGACTCTTCTACGTTACCTGATCATCGTTTCCCGATCGAAAGAATTAATTAAACAACTCCTTTCTTGCGATCGTGAAGCTAAACGATTTCGGGGAATGCTCCTCGAGGAAGTCGATACTCGGAAACCTAAGAGTATTTACGTTACAATTCATTTACTCGAAGCGACGTTTAGATCCTTGTAAATCCAATTTTCTTTGAGGAGAAAGCTTTAACGAGAGTCTCTTAAACTTTTAACTCTCGACGTTTGATTCAGTCGACACTGAAACGACCAACACAACCCACTGATCCCTTTTTGCAGCGATTAAAAAGATAAGTTCCGAGAAATTATCGAAGAAATTAGTTCAGCCATGCGCAAACTGAGTTGTAGATCAATGGAAGTCTCAGTAGACACGTTGTAGTTACTATGAACGAATTTCGAAATGTCAGTCGAACTGCTCGGTAGTTTCATCGTTAAAATCGATCTCCCGAGAAAGTCCGGCATTGTGATCGCGGAACACATAGATCACGGTGAATTGTCTGTTGCCCGTTGGCTGAACTCGCGATCGTTGGTTCGGTTTCAGAGTACGCACAACGAAGTACACCATGCTGAGCTTCCTACCTCGCAACCTTCTCGAGCAATTTCACCGCGTGGCCAATCTGTATTTTATATTTATCGTTCTGCTTAATTGGGTGCCAGCCATAAACGCCTTCGGCAAGGAGGTCGCCATGATACCCGTGATCTTCGTGCTGGGCGTGACGGCGCTTAAAGATTACTTCGAGGACCGGCGGAGGCTCGCCAGCGACCGTCGTGTCAATAACTTCACCTGTCGCGTCTACGTCGGGTAAGTGAGAAACTTTCTAAGCCTTACGACTTACACTGTCCGACACGGTGAAAAAGTTGTTCACACGGGATACCGTTGATTAACGCCTCACTTGTTTCGCAACGATCGAATCGTTGACGCTTTAACACGTTGGGTGAACCCCGCCTTAATCCAATTACTGTAATTCCCTCAATTAACGATGAATATTTAAAAACATTATTATGTTGTAAATACACATAATGTGGAGGAATAATGTAATATTGTGCTTTCATTTCGTAATATTTTGCAGACTAAAATCGTGCATTCAACCTGTTCACATTAAGTTTACGGAACGTGTTTTGTAAACATTGTAACGTACATATCCTAACCGTTCATCTTTAACACTAAATGTGTTAAAGTTTGTATTTTTCTTCGTCATCAGTTTTCGTCTTTCCTTTCGTTTCAATTTGTTTACCTTTATAACTAATTACTTAGCTGGTCAGAGCGGAAGTAGTTACATATAAGGCGCCAGTACGTTCAGTGTTAACCTCCAATTTCCAAGATGCAAATGAACAATAGAGTAAACTATGATAAATTCATCTAAACCTGGTGTTGCGTTTACTTCTCTGATTAGTATCTTCGACACCTTCGACTAACAAAATCAATAATGTATCTCTTATTAAATGTAACTAGCGTTTTCAATACTTCGATGAGAATAATTACAATCCCTCTGTGAATTACACAGAGATCGTTGAAATCGCCAAAGTGATATTATTTCGTTTCGGAAACAATAACACGCTTTTCGTTATGCGCACCCTGTATATCGAAGTAACTCCAAGCGATCGCCAACTCATCGCGGGGCGTAGTAGCTCGGGAAATGGCGCGAACGCGCATTAATCGCGGTGAATTGAGCAACGCTCGCTCGGAGCAGCGGCGTTCAAAGTTTCCTGTCGATATTTCTAGCCTAGTAGTTCGAACTTCAAAAGAGCCGATCGTCTCTCGATCGACGTCTCGTCTCCGCGCGTCACTGCTGTTTTCGCGCGACGCGGCGGGAGGAGTTCGCGGAAGGATGAACGGCGATTCGGCCACCGGCGACGGCCAAAGACAACGTCTCGCGTATTACGCGCTCCTATTTTCGGTCCCGACGTTTCGGGAACTCGATCGACGTTCCTTTGATCAGCGGGAACGCGTGGATCGGCTTCGATCGGCGATCGCGAGCATGTGGGTCGGGCCGCGCGTATCGGACGTGGAAAAGAAAGTGTCCTCTCCTTATCCATTCGCGGAAGAGAACTATCGCGCGTCGCTGCTCGTGTCTGGCACTGTAATTTGCTCAGCTGGGCGATCCACGGTTAACCCTTTGGCCGAATCAAGCGTACAATTGGCTACGGCGGAATTTCGCCTTGACGCGTATTTCTGAGAATGTGTATTGAAATGGAAACATTGAATTGAGCTAAATGAAATCAATCTGAAATAGTCACGTTTGTATATGGTATGATTAATGCGAGATGTCATTGTTGAATTGGAATTCTTTTGTGCCAGATATAAGCGAGTTTTGCAGTTGTTGTCAATAATATTGTATGGCCGCTTATGGCTGAAACTAAATTTTTCAAGCGCCTTTAGGTGCCAGCAGTAAGTATATTGTCGGTACCGTAATAAGGCGGTGAATAATTGCAATATTATCAACGAAATTCTCATCGGAAACGTCAATTTTCAGTGCATAGATAATGTACTTAACTCCTTGGCTACTGTCGGCGTGATTAAGTTATTTCGAAATTGTAATTCAAAGGGAAACGGAGAAAAAAGAGTTCCAAGCATGGAGATTTACAACGAACCTTGTTGTAATAGAACTATTTTTTGAAAAAGGAAAACCATGGGGCTTCATTTAAATGTTTTCGAATTGAATTGAATTGATCGTTATGTGTTTTGAATTTGAATTGAATTGATTGTTATGTTTCTGCTGTCAGACGAAAGATGTATCTCTATAGGAATACATACCTAATAGAAACGTATCCAGCAGTTCGAAGCGACCTCGACCTTCGTTTATTTCTCTGTTGCCATTTTTCGCGTGCCTGCGGTGATTCCTACGCAGCAGCGTAACCCCTACATCAGGGAATTCCTAAACGTCGGTACGTCGAGTCGTCAAAAAACAGTTGTTCACGAGACTCGCGAATAAAACCCACAGCTCGGGGTCACCGCTACGATCTCCCCGACCTTTCCACCTTTCGTCGGCGTCGCGATCGTGTAAACGTAATTTCGTCGTCCGCGAGCATCCTTATTTGCGTGTCCTTATTAGCCTCGCGCGCGAAAAAAAGCGTCAAGGCGTTCTCGCACTTACGAGCGTGCCTGCGGGAACGTATGTATATGGTGTTTCCGCTTTTTCGAGAACACGGCCGTCGGATGAGTCATTCCCGATGAAAAGCTACGTGCAATGTCCCAGCCGAGGGAAACCGCGAACGAGGAAAGTTTGACTTCCACTTCGAGGCTGCTGAATACAACCGTTCTGTCGTCGAGAAGATAAATCAGTGTATACTAACGAGGATAAACCGCATATTCGCTTGTCCGAGAAGTTTACCCGGTGATAAATATTTATCGGAGCTCGCGCGTTGCCGGTCGACGCTTTATTCCGTCGACTCTCGATTCGACTTGAAATTTTCATTGTTACCCTTCGGATATTCGTGATTATTGTTACATCTCGAGTCGCTTAGAACGCGTTAAGCGTGGAAAAGAAAAATTGTGGAAATTCTTTGGCTTCTGAAACTGTTATACGTTTGGAAGCTATAAAAAGGTTTCCGACCTAGAACAAACGGAGAGTAAATTGAGATTAAAAGAATATTATCTATTCCATTAGAATCTACGAAAATCAGAAGATATCGAGAGATTAACATTGATTTCTAAGCGACTCATACAATGTTCTTATTTTTCCATTTGCATCCGAAATCGTGGAAGCTTCCAGTCCTATTTCTTGTAGCATTTGTAGTCAGGAATAATAAGGAAACTCCGGTAATGGCGAACAAGAGAGTAGAGAACCGTAGCGACGCAACGGAGCGGTGACGCAGTGCCAAGGAACACGGTAATTTCGATCGAAACGACGCAAAGCCGTTCACCGATACCTCGCCCGCACCTTGGTCCGAGGTCTAGGCCGTGCCCGGGCACTAAAACCGGATGCGCACCTATATTTTCCAAACACCGCGTCCTCGAGAGTTACCAGAAATTCCCTGAGTGCGGCGGCTCCTCTCGAAAGGCCTCCGAAACGCCGCTTAAACCTAAAAATACCTTTCACCCACAATAGAGGTCTCGAAGCCAAACGAATTTGTATATTGTCTTCTCGCGGCCGTTCTCCGTCGCGATTCGATTCGGCCGAGCGATCGTCCGAACGATCGACGGGCAAGAGAACGCGGGATACAATATGCAACAGTGTTCTCAGCATTCCAATCAGTTCGGAATCGCGAATTCTCTTCTTTCCGCTGCGACGCTTCGACATTACGAAACGCGAGAACCGCCGAAGATGCGACGCGAACGCGATGCTGCTTATCGTCGGAGCATCTTCAAAGTCGTTCGCTTAATAACGAATGTTTACGGGACCATAAAATCACACTATCGTTAACGACAAAGGTTCAACTGCCAATTAAGTAAGGAGATAGTTATTCCCGTTCGTTTAATTCTAAAATATCGCCGGAGGCAGGCTCGTTACGAAAATTCACTTTAATTGACGAGCATTATAGAATAACCGCGGCGCTGCGTGCCGAGTAAAAGGTTTATTTACCTTGATGCTGACACAGATCTCGCGGGATCAAAGTTATTCGCTGGAGACCGCGATGCGGACCGAAGTCGCGCGATCGTGTCCCCGATAAGCTACACGGAGCGCGATTCTTTCGGAACGACCGTGCGATCGTGGAAACTTTCAATCTTGGGCTTTATCATTCTTCCACGACACGCTCCTGCGGCTTATCAAGATCTCGAGCCCTTAATTGCAACGTTATCGTGTCGTATCCACGAGACAGAAGTATACGCTTCGAGGAAAAAGCGGAAGTTTCGCGAAACTCGCGCGACGATGAATCGCCGACCGGTGCGCGACCGTTTGGAAATGTCCTATTTACGTTATGGATTTACCCGTTACGCTGATGGACGGACGGACGGTCGATGGATCGCGGATATCTCGCGATCTGACTGGTCGCGGACAACCGTGGACGCGTCCCTCGATCGCGCTCCCGTCTGAACGCACGCCGTTGCTCAATCGTCGCCGGAGGGGTGGCAATGAAACTCCGTGTCGTGCATCAAGCAGGACAATCGTTTCCAGGAATCCGCCGGACGGACCTAGTTTATAAGCTCCTAGTTTGCCCGCGCTCGCGTTCCTTTTCGAAACTCGGAATTATGCCGCATGATCGTATCGCGGCCGGCAATTATGCATCGTCTCGAGGAGGAAAGTTAGCCCCATAACGCTTGGCAAGGTTGCGCGCGAAGGAGATCGAGAGAGGAGAAAACTCATGGAATTAGCGAGTAATTAACTCGCTCGAACGTTGATGCTCTGGAATTCGACTGTTCGGATGAGGAAAATTGGAGGTTACCAATGTGTCTGTCGTTAAGTGGTTTGCTATACAAAATGATCGTTTGGAAAGTAAACATTTTCGAATCAACTCCGTTTCCTTATTTATGCAACATTGGAATCGAAAAACTTCGCAATGTTCAGCTATATATCTTGCAACTTCTGCCCGAAGCATTTCGTGGCACTCGTACGTTCCGAGTTATCGTTGATACTCTAAGTTATTGAATTTCGTTATCCTGTTATTCGATTAGTTATCGAGTGGCTTCGGTTTTCCATTGAGATATCCGCGGCGCGTTCGAGAGAAGTTTCCTATGGAACAGATACCGCGACGATAAGGAGCAAAGTAATAACCACGTTTCAATCCAGCGCGCACGAGTCCTCCGACTACAAAAGGAAATGCGTGCGTCACGTTCATTTATATGTTTGCACTAAATGTAACGCGGGAAAGTGTGACAGAACTGAAACGACGCCGCGTTTCATTAAAGTCACGACGTTGCGC